CAGGTTATCAAAAGAAGTTGTCCAAGGCCAGGTTGGATGGGGCCTTGGTCAACCTGATGTAGTGGGTGTCATCCCTGGCTATGGCAGGGAGGCTGGAGTTAGATGATCTTTAAGGTCCCTTCCAACCCAAGCCTTTCTATGATCCTATGATAGTAAAACCCAGAGACAAATAAAAATAAAAATAATTTTATGACACTTTTTTTTTAGTAGTGCATCTATCGTAGAGGATTGGCAGAATCTAGATGGCCAGTTGATGGAGATTCCCAAATTCATCTACTTTTCATATATATTCAAATAAGAAATAAATGTCTTGAACTCTGGCTGGTTGGTTGGTTGGTTTTTAATACGAAACACTATGAGAAGTTTTTCAAGAGAATTGCCTATCAATTTCTGCATATAACAAAGAGTGGACTATTTTGAAATAAGCCTGTTCTTTGTTTGTTTGGTTTTTATCAGGTACTAATAGAACTTTCTGTCCAAAATGCATGTGTGATATATTCTCTGGGATCCCACAAACAATTTTTGCCAGGTCACTGCAAAACATGCCCTCATTATCATATATCATGTTACATTAATATGTTACAGGCACAAGGGACCATTATGTTCATAGATTCCATGATAATATATACTGACGAATTTCACTCTTATACATTAAATTCTGCATTAGGCTGGCTACCTTCTGTCTGAACAATAAAATATCCATCTTTTTAAGTCCCACCGTGGTAAAGATATCAAGTGCTGATAAATTCACACCTTTCTTTGTATGACTGAAATAATAATTAAATAAAACTTAGAGGAGATGCACTTCAGTTACTGCTTGAATTTGTTTAATCTTATTTCAACACAAAACGCTTGAAACTAGCAACAGCAATCAATTCTGAAAGCATCTCCATTTCATAACCTGTGCACTTTAAAGTCTCACAGGAAGGACAGATTTTGCTCTAGCAGTGCTCAAGAACAGCACTGGTAATTACCCTGGACTGAGAAAATGTCTATTAAATACTTAGAGCTTGAGGGAGAGAGCTTCGTCAATTCCCTCTTTTAAAGACAAAAGCAAGCAACTTAAAACTGTTTTGCAGCAAGAAAGCTGTTACATACAGGACCAATATAAAATCCAAATGCTTTTGGTAACATTTTGAAACCTTATTCTTTTTGTTTCCTCTTAAGGATCATCACAAATTAAATACTGAAATACATGTACAAGACTGCCAATTCAGACCCAGGATACTTAGATTCTAAGTCCTAACCCATAAAGTTTTCGAGATTAACTCCAAAACTGGATCTTACTTTCAACTTCAGTTTTGAAGGAGTAGAAATCCCACATCACAAGAAAAATAATTAAATATTCCAGTCCAATAGGGCCCCTCTCTCACAATGGCATTAAGAGGAGTCAAAATCTTGTATAGAAAGCCCACCATGAAAAAAAATCTTGGAATTTGTACGGCTGGGAGAAGCAATTTGTTCCAGAAAATGAAAGCTAATCACAAAGTATTGTATAAAACATAGGTGCTGATATTTTTTTCAAAATGTAATAACAATTATTTGACCTGATATTAATTATTTTCTTAGCCTCTGATGCATCCTACTGCAGAATTGGAAATATGTTGGGTACCCTCTAGTGGGCAAAATATCATATGACTTCTTATCATCCAAAAATGAGAATTTGTGAACCTATTTCAATCCAGTGAAACAGAATTTTTTCAAGCTTAGAAAGAGCATGAATAGTTCTGAGGTGGCTATGATCTAAAAATGAAATGAAATGTAGACATAATTAGTAAAAGAAAATATATTTAACATTTAATTTTGTTTCTGAGAATAAACTATGTGAACAAAGATATATGAGATTTCTCTTCTCTCTTACTGGCAGAAATGACCCACTGCAATTTCATGGCACTTCTATGACTGTTAAGTCCCAAGGTAACAGTGTTTTTTTGTTATTGTTGTTTGGTTGTTGGTGTTTCGTTTTTTGTTTTTTTTTTTCAGGGGGGGGGCAAAGAAAAGAGGTGGTCAGAGATCTGAAAATAAATGCACAAAAGTCCCTTTAGAATGAATGTTAAACAAAACATCAGCCTAGGAGACAATCATCTGTTTTGTGTGATACACTGTATAAGAAAGTACAAAGTGAGGTTGCTATTTAAAAATTCTATACATTATTTTTAACAGAACCAGGAATTCCTAGCTCCTCCTGACCTCAGATTCATACTCATTCTTTATCTCACTCCAGCTACTTGCTAGCCTTTCAGCGTTGGCAGATATGGATCAGACATTGTAGATGTTATTGGTTTTCTCTATAAAGAAGCTGTGAAAATGGCATAGATTGAACTGAGGATTATTGTGGCACACAGATGCTGCAAATTCTTTTTCTAATAACAGACATTAAAAGGCATCTTCAGGCGAACCAGTACTGGTTACCTGGAACAAGCAGAAAATCAGATATGGTGTATTTGCTTTTTTCCTGTAATTTGTTCTTATCTCCTATCTGTCATTTCTTTGAGAAATGTGAACTTGCTTTAGCATGTTTTGATGGTCACTACATAATTTACACTGACTAATTTCTCTTCCTCCATGCAACTAACTGACATCACTGGTTTGACATATCAATTAACACTTTGTCAGTCTTTCCTTCCCACATTATTCATTAGTAGGTCACCTTCAATCTTTATATATATTATCTTTATATCATTTCATTTCATAGCTATTTCCATCCCAAATTTGACAAATGTATTATTAGTACTTCTGTTTTCTAGATGCAAATCAGATGCAATGTTTCTCCCCTTACCCATGTTAGAAAATTTCATAATACATATTTCATGTTCTCTTTGAATTAGTAATTCCTTTCTTATTATCAAGGGCCTGGGATGGCACACAATAAAGAACTTATGTAGCTAAAACCAGTGCAGAAATTCTCGATGTACATACAAGGTATGTACTTGGGTTTCTCAGAATGGGAAGCAAAATAGCTTGCACATAGGGTAAGTACAGACCTGCTTTTAGCCAGTTAGGAGGTCTCAGCTAGGAGGATGACCAAAATTATCCCTTTAGAAAGCACAGATTCAGAGATTCCTTCCTTTCACAGGCACGAGCCAGGCTCTGACAGCTGCAGCGCTGCCCAAGGAAGTGGCACAGCAGTCCAGGACATGCAAAGCCAGGGTTTCTACTTTCTTCTTATTTCAAACAGACATTTCAAACTGAATTTTTCACCTCTTGGGAGACTTCCCTAATCAACAAGTAAATACACCTATCTGAGCAGAGCAACAATAACTTTCTGCTGAGGTTGTACCAACATTTACTAAAGGATGTGGGTGGGGAGCAGAGCAGGATACTGCCGTCAGCTGTGAAGCAGGGCCCTGTGCTCCTGTGCAGCTGCCTTTCCTGCATGGGCTTCATATTATATAGTTATGGTTACAGTGAACAGACATAAGATATGCTGTTACTGTGGTTAATATCATTATCTTTGATTTCAGAAAAATAGAGTCCTGCTTTTATGAAGGAGCAAAGTTATCCACATGCCATATTAAAATATTCTGGGGAGCATTCTACTTTGTCTCTTGTTCCCTCCCTTCTCTGGTCCATATGACTAAACTTCTCTCATGTGAGAGCAGAGAAAAATCTTTACATTACCTTGAAAACAAAAATCCCTTTTGAGGGAACATGGTCCAGATGTTTTAGGACAATCATCTTTCAGACAAAAAAAAAAAAAAAACAACCAACCAAAAAAAAAAAAAACAGATAGATGTGTCCTACTAACAACAACTCAAAATTAGACTATAAAACCACTTTTCCAAGGTTTATGCAATATCCATATATCAGGCCAAATCTTTTGTTCATCTTCATATTTGAAAAAAAAAGAAATATAACTTCCCTACCTTATGTATTGTTTGTCTCAGATGTTATGATATTCATATTTATAAGAGAGTTTACATGTATACTATACTCCTGGGAGTTTCACTCTTGTCTAAAAGACTGATTAGTATTTCTTTCATGCCTGAATCGAGTTCAAAATGATCTCAACTAGAAGCAAAGGAGGGGAATCCAAGTCTTTTTCGCTAACAAATCCCTTGAGTCTTACAAGAGCTCAAAAGGTAAGGCAAAATAACAACTAGAGCAATTGTGTCACTATTTCCCTCAAAGAAATGACAAAAAAAATTCTTAAAATCAAAATCAAACTGCTATTACTAACCCAGAAAAAATAACTGAATTCTGAAAAACAGTTTAATTTGGTTATTTCTCTGGCTAAACATTCTTTAGCATTATCTTTTCTAATACCACAGTTTTATGTAGCTCTTCTGTTTTCCTTTCTGTATAGATATTTTTAACACTTGATGTGTTTAGGAGAACGGGATAAATAAAGCTTGCTTCCTCAGTCTAGGATTCTAGTGGTAACTATATTTTTGTGAGGAGCTTAAAAGGCTTTGCTTAAACTTCAATCTGAACATTTTGTAAAATTGAGAAGATTGCTGCTGGCACTGTAGCATTATCTAACTGTAGCGAGTGCTGAAAAAACTCGTGCAGGCAACAGAAATATTACTGAATTTAAATCATCAAAACAACAGGCTTGTCTAGAAATTAGCACATCTCTGGTGACTGAGAAGGCACACACATAGCAGGAAAGAAAGACTGCATTATTTTCATTATTTTTTTTTTTTTAGCTTTTTTTTTTTTTTTACATTGGTAAATTGCAGGTACTGAAATAATGATAGCTTAATAATCCTAAAAAGAAGGGCACTTTAAAAGTGACAGGACAGTCAAAGATGTTAGCCCATTTTCCAGTGAGTTGAGTACAATAAATCTCGTCCTACCATATAGCTGCTCTGTTCTCTGTGGTTTCATTTCCATACCAATAATACAAGGCAGTTTCTGGGCGTTTTCAGGTTCTGTTCCCTTAGTATAAATGTTCTGATTTAGTCACTAGTGATTTGATCACAGCAAAGATCCAGTATTTTTAAGCAAACTGCTTGTCCTAGGCTCTGAATACATTTCTAGCTAGGTTCACCACTTACCTCATGGGGCCACTCACAGGAATAAGGTTTCCCTCACATCAGGTCACAGGAACTGCCTGCTCTGTATCCCTGGAAAAGGCTTAAAGCAGGAAGGAAACCTGATTTAGTAAAGGGCAGAACCATGATATCACCCTCTCCTCATACAGCAGAGGCACACAAATGCTCACAACACAGGCTTCCTCTTGACAGCTCAATGTGGGGACAATGAGGTGAGGCTGTGAAGACTAGGAAGGGTGTGAGTAAGCTCCATCAGCCCATGCATCATTCCCAGTTCCAGCCTTGTCCTGCAGGTCCTTCAGGGCCACTGCTTTTAAGCAAGGCTTTCTCAGCACTTTCCTGCTCTTCCTTCACCCTGCTACAGCAATATCCACCCTGAGTTTCTTGCTCTGCTTCCAAAACTCTCCTACAATGCGCCCCCAATCCATGCGTGCATCCTGCACCTTTTGCCTATAGAGCCACTATTACTTGTCTAATTGCATTGCAGGGGACAGGCACCATCTGGCTGCTTGTATTATAAATATTATAAATGACTACAACTGTCCACTAATTTTGAACTCTGGAAGTCATTCTGTTCTCAAACGCCCACTAAATCAATCATACATATTCTGAATGTAGGTATTGTGTTGTGATGGTCTGCATTTTTATTTTTCTTATAAACAAACTTTCAAATTTATGTCTCTGTTTTTGTATTGTGTTTTTTTGTTTGTTTGTTTTTCAAAAAAAAGTGTTAATTTCTAAAATGGATCTTCAATCCTCCTTAGACAACACTTCAGAAAAATAAATAAATAAATAAATGAAATCTGGGCAATATCTGTTTTCTTGTTGCCAATCTCAACTAATCTAATGGCTTCTGATTATATATAGCAATGTTCATATAGCTCACAGATCACAGGTACTGCTGCTTATGGAAGCTGACATCACCTTTGTCATCATCTGCGCTGTGGTTTCTTCTCCCTGAGAGGCTTCTGTTATCGTTCTATGAGCTGGAAAGAATCACTTGAGTTTTTAATTTCTCAAAGAAAAGGTGGAAAAAGTTAAAGGTATTCTGAGGTATTGAAGATGATGCCAAATATTTTTAAGCTCTATTTTTCTAGAGATTGCTGTTTTTTACTATGTTCATGGACATAGTAATGCTATAGTAAGGCTTAATGATATAGTAAGGTGTAATGATATTTGAGCAACTCACTAAGGCAGGTGATAAATGATTTTATTTTCTTGAGGACAATCACCTACTTTATTTTCTTATTTATGACCCTATCCATGCATTTATCTGGATGTAAATACTGATGCTTTCCTCATGTGGAAAGCAGGTATAGTTAGCTCTACAGCCACAATTGCCTCTTGTTTTGTAACAGATTCCATGATTCTCCTTGTCCCCTGACCAGGAGTGCTCTCACTATACTGTCATGTAATGACAGTAATGACAAAGAAAACGATATATCTCACAGAAAAATCCCCTTAAATTAAAACATCTGGTTAAAGCCAGTCTCAGGTCTTCTTTATTATTATTTATTTATTTTTTCTCCTTTTCTTTCTGTATAAGGCCTCACTTTGCCTAGGAATCGATTAGAGAATTTCTTCCAAACTGGCCATTATACAGAGATCCATAATCTTGCAATCATGCACTGAATACAGAAAAGTAACCTCTTGTTTCATATGTCAAGAAATGAATAAACTGTGGCAGTTTTTATTTTTTTTTTCTCTGTATATGTTCAGTGAACGTTTTCTACTGTGGGAATTTATACAGACTAGCATGCCCATCTTTTGCACGGCCCCATTTTTAGATTCAGGTGGATGACTTGGCAAGATGCTCTGGGACTGCCTGATGTACAGATGCTCTGAAGTGTAACAGATTTGATTAGAACAGTAGGCAGCTTGATTTCTTGTACAAGATTATCTCATGGTTTCTCTCTCATGTGCCACAGCATTAAATGAATGATAGCTCTGAAGCTAACCGGATGCTATTCAATTTAGATGATGTTTGCTTTCTAGTCAGAAGTAATATGGACACAGATACAGGAAAAGGGATCTAGACAATGTTGTATAAATCTACCTTTCTGACCCAGGTACTGAACTTGAACAACCTATAACAACTACAAAAATCAGATAGATAATACTTTAAATACTATTTGAAAGCTTCCTGCTCCTATTCCTCAGCTTTTAAATCCTGTCTTCCAACCCTGCACAGATACTTTCACTTCAGCAGATGTTTCCCCTTTGAGCTTTTCCTGTTTAATATATTTCAAACTGAAGTCTCAAGCTGCTTGCTTACCTCTCTCTACTTCAATGGATCAGTTGACATGGAAGGAGAAAAATAGCTCAAGCAGATGTTTCAGAAGTTCAAAATATTAGAAAAAAAAAGTGGAAGATGCTAATGTGGACTTTATATTTGTGTATGGCAGCATTAACAGATGCTCACTGAGACTAATAACTACTTCTATCATTTTCCATGGAAACTGAGAGCAAATTTGAATTAAAAAAAAAAGTTGCTTGAAAAGCTCACATGGGGTAATATGATTTATTATATACAGTGAAAGTCAATGATATTTTGCCAGGGAGGTACTTATTATATTTCAGACAAATGAAAATGACAGACCCTTGCCCTGAGGAACTTAGCAGGTTGTGACTTTCCTATGTGGGGTTGTACAAAATATTGAGAAGAAGAAATTAGCTTCTCTCTGTCATGCTTCACAAGATCCAGTTAGTTACAGTCCCATGACCCTTTTTGTCTCTTTTGCTCTTAATACAATAAGAGCCAAAAAAAAAATCAACGACAACAACAAAAAACCTACATACACACTACATACTGGCGTAATAATGTTAATCATATTGTAAAAAAAAAAAAAAAAAAAAAAAAAAAAATTGCAAAATTAATCTGCTTTTTAAACGCACTTTTATAACATTCTTTATGTTTGCTATATTGAGACACAGAAGAAGCTTGAAGCACCTGAGAGGATAAGAAATGCACAAAGCTGCAGAGAATACACTTTAGAGAATAGTCATTATGTAAGTAGTAGCAATTATATTTTAGTATGTCTGGTTATTTGTGAACCAAAAACTGTATTTTGAGTTTTGTTTGTAGAGTAGAAATAATCTCTCTACAAGAGAAAAATAGACTGTTATGGCAGCTGAAAATTTTAAATGGTATTTCAGAAAAAGAATACACATTCAAATATAAATGGTTAGTACTGCTGAAGGTTTGTTTTGTCTTTCTTAATTTTTGAGTGATATAGTTTGAAACATTGTTAGCATAGAATAGGATGCAAATATTTATTCTTTCTCCCTTGTTTCCCTTCATTTTCTTCCATTTTTTCTTTGGGTCAGAACTTGCATCAGCTAAATTTAACTGTACATTGTTAACAAACTTCACATATGCAAAACTGAGGAGATCTCAAACTTTTCTCCCCAGAATTCCCTTCTTAGCCACTTTTCTATGAAGGGATAAGGTAGACTGCTTACTAGATTCAGCAAAGTCACCTGTTCACCACATAATTCTTTTCTACATTATATTTAATTCCTCCATAATTTCAGATAAAAGGTGCACAATGTGGTTCTTAATTTCTGGATTACTTGTGCCCCAAGTTTCTCTTTCAGGAGGTAGTTGGATGGTTCACACTCCAATGAAAAATCAGGACTTCAATAAATCTTCTTACAGTTCTGTAAAGAACTTGTTAATTTCTTTGTCTTGATTATGTAATCTGTAACAGACACCCGACACAACACTCCCTTTCTTTAGCCTTCTCTCTTGTCCCAATCCACTGACAGCCTAGTCATCACAATGGTCAATACAAAGACAAAACTCTGCACTTCAGCCCCTTTCTGGAGACCCGTACACCAACTTCCCTGCTTGTCTTTCCTACAGAGCCTGCATCCATCCATCATGACAACTCTAATCATGAAAGCTATCCCACAACAATTCCATGATGCCAGTGAGAACTGAGGTCTTTGCTTTGACAAAATCCATTCTTTGAGCATGGGTTTCTAATTCCTTCTGTTCGTTTCCTGTGTATTCATGTACAGACACTTGAGACCTTGAAGCCCCTTAGTAGTGCCATTTTCCCAGAAGAATTATGAAAGTCTTTTTTTAGTCTTTTTTTTTTTTTTTTTTTTTTTTTTTACAGCACACTCGGCTCCTGGACTTTCTTCCTCCATCTGTCTTTGATATTTGACCTGAACCTCCTGAAGTGGCTAGTTATAAATCCCCATCACTGTGTATCAAATGAAATCTCAAGAGTGTTGTAGACTACAGGCCTCATAAAAACCCATCAGTTCCAAGTGGATCTTTGAACAACCTGAAATAGTACGCTTCCTACACGGACAACACCTCTGTGGTCCCTTTCATCACACCTGGAAGTTCTAATGGCTGACAGGACACGTAGAAGGTAATACACTGCAGCATGTACAGCTTACCAGATATTACTGCAAGCAGTAAAGGAACACATGAGAATAGAGAGGTAAATCATATACAATTGTGGTGAGTTAGCCATGGCAAACAGCTGAATGCCCACACTGCTACTCCCTTATCCCTGTTTCTCATGAGAGTGGAAGAAAACAGGATGGGAAATCTTGTGGGTGAAGTAATAGCTTACCAGTTACCTTTTTGGACACAACAGCCTTTACTTGGGGAATAATCATCTAATTTAATGCTAACTGAAATAGATTTTGGCAGCAAAAAACAAATATAGATATTAAAATAACATATTTTTTTCCCACGCTTAATTTCATGATTTCATTCCAGACTCTTCTCACCCCAAGCAGTGCAGAGGGGGACTGGGGAATGACAGTATGCAGTGGTTTCCCTCTGCTGCTTTTTCTCTCTCGCACCATTTTACCCTGCTTCAGAGGTGATGTCCCATGGGCTGTAGTCCTTCAGGAAAATATCCTTTCAACTGTGGGATCTCCACAGGCCTCAGTTCCTGTCAGGAAACATCTGCTCCACCAGGGAACTGCAGGGGATATCTGCTCCTCTGTGGAGCACCTCCTCATCTGACCTTGATGTTGTTTTGACATTTCTCACTTTTTTTCCCCCATTTCTCTGTCCAGTGCTTTCCGTCCTTTCTCAAACATGTTTTCCCAGAGACATCACCAACTTCACTAGTAGGTTCACCTGTGTCTTACAGTGGTCTGTTATGGAGCCAGCTGTATCCAGCAGTCCCTAACCTCTTCCACC